ATTATGTATCTCAATTTTTATATTGATTTAATATTTATAACTTTTTGATCAAAAACATTTATTTATTAACATATATGTAAAGGTGTTAAATTTTATATAATCAATGAAATAATTAGGTTTATTAAAATAATTTAAAAATTGATATTCATAATGTAAATGAATAAAATTTTCAATCTAAATGTTAGTTTTCTAAAATATTAATTAAAATAAATTTTTAAATATGTTTTCTAAAAAAATTTAAAAGTATGACCTATAAAACACTTTTATTTTTTATATAATGGTTAAATTATCATTATATATATATATATATATTGCTGTCGTTAAATTGTCATTAATCAAACCTAAGAAGCTGTTGAATACCCTAATCCAAGGGAAATAGGATTGTAAACATGTTGCCAATTTTTGGCTTAATAAAGTCAGCCAGTGACCAGGAAAGAATCCATGTCACACATGTTTAACATTTAATATGACACACATGTTTAGTGGCAAGTGACATGTATTTTTTACTTAATTTATTTAGTAATTTAAGGTACCTTCTTAGGCTAATAATACATCAAAATTTGGAAATTGCCTTTTACAACTAGTATTTGATAATTGACACAATTCAGAAAGGCAAAAAGGCAAGATTGAATGCGAAACGGGTAACAAGAGAAGCAAATATACTGTGCTAAAGCCAAACTGAACTGCTGTAATGGAGTAAATTGAACACCATAACACAAGTCTAAAATCACACATGAATTTGCAAATGGACAAAAAATATATATATCAGTTTTAGGAAATGAGGTAACATTTTGGGTGCCAAACAATGTGGGAAGTAAGGAATTAATTAAGAAAACATCCCAATATGACTCTACATATACAAGACTGTGAGAGATGTACTTTTATTAGACAAATGTAGACTGTAGAGAAGATTGAAGCATATATAACCAGACAAACTCACTATCAAATTTCACAAGAAAGGATCATGAGCCACAACCTCCTTAATCTCAAATTTTAGAACCATTAGCATTGGGCTTTTCATATTCATGACCACTCTGTAACCATAAGTATCAATACCAAGTCATTTTAGGAAGTGCGCTAACACTTCGGAAGCAGCTCGATGTGCTGATGGGTGCGTACTGTAATGGTGACATAAGGGAGGTGAATCGGAAGTACCACAATCGTGATGTGTGCCGCCTCTACTTGTCTGGCCTTTGTCCTCACAAGTTCTTCCAATTAACGGTATTCTCCTGATTGATTCCTTAATTTTTTTTTTTAATCTTTTCCTTATGTTTCGTTAATTGTTAAATGATTCATACTCATCTCTTTCCTTTTGAGCCCTAGTTTATGAATTCGAATTGCTTATCTGTGTTTGGTTTCTGAGAAATTTGGGGTTTTAGAAGTAGGAGAAGTTTAGAAAGAGAGATTGGTTGAGTTGGGGTTGAGTATGGGAGCAACGCATCATCTGGTTTTTGTTATGCCCTAAATCCAAATTAAGAAGAAATGAATTGAAATTTGTGTCATTGGTTTTACCGTGAAAAATCGGATTCTAAGATAGAGGGAGAGAGGAAAGTTGCTGAATTAGTGATGGTAAGCTTGTGTTACATGTATTTATGAAGACTGCCACTCGAAGCATTTGGAAAATGGTTTTTAATGAAATATAAAGAACAAGAGAAAAGAAGTGGTAGTTGTGCATGAATAGCATAAGTATGTTATTATTAGCTATTTTGGGTTAGTTTGGTAACCTATTATTTGTATAAATTAGAACAAGGGTCATGGATATAAGTTTTCTATTTTGTCATGGGTATATTTGTAAGAGATATAAATTCAAATGATAGGGATGCTGTTTCTGTTTACTTTCAATTGCTTATCCTGCTTACCTGTGAGGTGTCATAAAGAAAATCGTGCTACAGCATTAAATTCTCTATTTATCACAGGTATGTAAGATGTAAGACAAATAAACAAGGTATTTTTGGTTGTGATCCATGTTTCTTTATAAATTTAATTAGTTTCTCCTTTACATTCCTATTTTTTATTGTCAACTTGTATGACATGTATCATTTTATGTGTTGAGGAAGGTATTTTGGTGAGTTTCTTAGGTAGGTACTATATGCTCTTGTAGTATTCATAGGTATCATTGTTCTTATGTGGTAAACTCTTTAATGTTCAACTTTAGCTTTTGGTCACATTTGAGTTGCAGATCCTTGTTTATAGTTTTCTCTGTAAGTTATTGAGACTTTGGGATTCCTGATTTCAAACTCTTGTTTTCTTTTTAAGTTATGTATAAAAGGAGGGGGTGGGGGTTGGGCAGGCTGCTAGTATTTTCTATGGAGTTTTATATGCATGAAGTGTGTCTCTTGAATTGGAACAAAGATGCGTTTTCTACCTTTCCAATTGATGACGAGTACTTGATTTGTTTTCTTGGATTTAACATGGTTATTCTTCTTTGAATTAATTGATTCAGGGTGCTGTCCAAGTTTACAACAATTGTTGTGAAGTTTTTGTTTGTAGGTTCAATAGATTTCATTAATTTTAAGATTTTGATTATATGGTACAGGGGGATAACCATAGTTGAAGTTTGACTGCTTTCCCCATTATTTCAACTCTAAGGTGTTTAATTTGTTATAAAAAGAATAGTTAAATGATTTAATCAGTACTTTTAGAGTGAGGAGACTGCCTTAGAATAGCCATTTGTCTGGTTGATATGTTTGGATGGTTAAGATTAAATCAATATGGTTGAATTCAGCCAAAGGCTATGTCCCCTCCCATATTCTGGAGGACCTGGACAATGGTTCCAAAGAATGGTGAACCGTTCACATCATTCGGTGTGCCTTAAATGGCAGATTAGCATGACAAAGTAATGGTGTGTCACACTTGCACTTTTGTCGTGGCCTTTGTAAATGAGTTTTTGAGAATTCTTGAGAAATTTCTCTTGTTAGGGAGTTTAATATATGATTGGTTTCAGACTTTCAGTGATTATATCAAATCCATAACATTGCATTGCTTGACTTGATGACTTCCCAGTAAGCCATATCATGTTTGATTTTTGAAGCCTTTTTACAAGTGTTTTGTTTAAAGTGTTAAATGTTGAACGTACAACAATTATGTTGCATAATATTTTCTTGTCCTTTGTCTTAATATTTACTGTGGATGAATTGTGTAAATTTTATGATTAGCTTTAGGGTGTAAATGATTTCTTTTTGATTTGCAGATCTTGAAGGCAAGTCAGATCTTAAAATATGAGCTCTAGAAGAAGCAGAAGAGCTTAGAGCTAAAAGAGCAGATAAACAGGTACTTGATAGCTCCTTTAGATGTAGGATTGGAAATGGGTCTCTGAAAGTACTGATTTATTCATCAGGATTTCTGATATTGACTGTGTGTTAAGTTCCTCATAATTTGATTCTTGTATAACATTTAGTCTCTTGGTATATATGATGCTTCTGTTTCTTGTTATAGTCAACACTCAACACTGCTTTTGGATGCATTCAATAAAGATCAGGCATTTTTGCCCCAACCATTGCCAAACCCTCTATCTTTAGCACCATTGCCTGTGCTTGCACCTGATCCTCAGACCCAGGAAATGATAAATGAGAAGCTGAAGAAAGCTGAGGATCTTGATAAAACTCAGGTTACCTGAACTCCATTTTTTATGTATGTGAAACAGGGAGAAAAACATCTTGAGTTCTTGATGATAGATATCTATTAGGTACAATGTGTTAAATAACATAAACATTTTGAGTTCTCGACGATAGATATCTATTAGGTAGCATGTCTTAAATAACATTTTTTGAATGCTTCATTGTCTTTAAATTCTTGCAAATGGAATAGCAGTAATCCTTAAGTTGTTTCTGAGGTATTTATTATGCCAATTTATGTTCATTGCTGTTTGTGCTTTTACCTTTTTTCCTATAAAAAAAATGTCAATGCCAGAAAATTTGTTTTCCCTCCCCTTCCAAAACAATTGTCAATGGTTGATGAAGACTCAGTGCTTTACTGTTTTTTCAATTAACACTCAGTGCTTTACATTAACAATGCCTTTAGGGTGGTTTCATTTAAAATATACAGAAAGGCTATTAAAAAAATTTAGTTACCCAAATATCTCTGAATGATAAAGATGAAATGATAATGAAACTAATAAATCAATAAAGTGAAGACTTGCTCTTGAATGAAATGGCTTCTTGTCCATAATGTCAGCCCAAAATCAATAGTCCTTCTGATAGACATTTATGAAAAAGGCTGGCAGTTGCATTAAGAAAAGGTTCCTTGGGGTTTGGATTTTAGTTATTTGGAAATCTATTTTATTTGTTTGAAAACTTTACTTATCTGTGTTTTATTGAATCATGTTCTACAAAGTTTTCAAGAATACATGATGTACTTATCTGTGTTTTGTTAATAGTCTCTCTTGCTCTCTTATTGTTGTTTAGGTGAGAAAGGGATGGTAGACAAGGCACAAAAAGCGTTAGAAGAGGCTGAAGCACTCAAGAAGGTTTTAATTTCTGAATTTAATAGTGTTATTTCTGTAAATTAATTTTTATTAGCTCTCACCATATCCTTCTCCTTGGTATGCCTTATTTGTGGATAATTGTTTTTCCATTTGTTCAGCTCTTTGCTAGACAGGAGCCTGTTCTGAATTCCTCAAAGTATACTGCTGCTGATGTTTGCATTATGAGTTCTGTTTTTCGTTCTTTCAGTTTCACAGAAGGAAAATTATGATAAAAACTAGATAAGAAAACTTAGACACACTTGGACCTTATTGGGAAATTATGAATTCAATTTGCATAATTAATGCATGAATAGTCCCCTATCACAATTGATTTTAGTTAAATTTTCTTTTAGTCCATTTATATGCTAATATTCTATCTGCTCTAATCTTTTTGATCCAATTTTTTTTCAGACTGATCAAAAGCTACGTGTTTGTGATATTTGTGGAGCATTTTTGAGTGTTTATGACAGGTACATTTTATTATCTTCTACTTCTTGATAAATAGTCTTTTATCTTCTTTCTAAGGGCTTCAAAAAGTTAGTGTTTGAGGTTTCAAGTGCTTCAGCTTTTGACCTGGCTATTATACCTCGTCACAAGCAGGCTTTTGGGCCCAGTTTTACGAGGATAACTTTTACAGCTACATAATGTGTGTCTTTTTCTGTTTTTGTACTTGTAGATCATGCAATTGTTAGATAATAAATATTTGGGAAACTATATAATCTATAATGGATGCTACTGCAATATATATATTATTTGCTTTTTTGAAGTTTCTAGGTCAAAGTGATCTGATTTTTCTTGTTCCTTTCAGTGGCCCATGTTTACCTGATCATTTTGGAGGCAAACTTCATTTAGGCTATATGCAAATCTGTGATAAATTAGCAAAACTTCTGGTAAGATGATTTACATGCTTAGTATATGCTGACTGTCTATGGTGGCTCTGCTTTAAGTGTTACGTAAGGCTAGGGATAGTGCCTGGCATCCAAGGTGTTGGTTGTATAAATTGCTAGAACTATCCACGTACTATGTCTATTATTATTATTTTTTAAATAATCAGAACTTTATTTGAACACTGTTACTTAATGGATTCTAGTAGAACAGCAAATTAATTCATCTTTTATAGATCCCCTCAAGCTTATATTGTGAAAATGTTGGTCAGGTGCTGGTATAATGTTTCTTATTCTTCTATACAGATTTTCAATTAGTATATCATCTGTGAGTTTTTCTGACCTCAGAGAAGAATAATATCTTCCATTTTTCAATTTCTTTTGATTGTTTGTAGATGCTGGACTTTAAGACAGTATTTTCTACCTTGTCTGTGCATATTGGGCTTAAAATGTATCAAATATGAATTGTCTTCATGCTCGACCAATTTTGATAGATTAGTTTTTTCGGCTGAAAGAATGAAAAAAAAAAAATGGTAACATGAAATCAAATAGGAGAGGAGTACAAGAAAGGAATTTGTTGTAAGTAATGCGAGAAAAAAAATGACCTTTTCGTATGTTTAAAATCTATGACAATAAATCTGATGAAGGCCTGATTTGGTCAGGGTAAGTTGCCTACTAATTATGCCTACCACTATTAGAATTCTTTCCTGATGGTCCTTATGGCATGTTATGGTTAGCTAAATTGAAGTGACATTTAACTTTTTGAAAGAAGCATTCAGTAGTATTTGGTGATTATTGTTTTCTCAGGAAGAGAGAAACAAGAGTCGCAAACTTGACCGGTATGATGACAAGAGGTAATCCTCACGTGGTTTCTTTTCCTTTTTCCATTTGGTAAACCATTGGGTGGTGAGTGGGGTGTTGTGACATCCTTTTGATTGGTGTACAGATCGAAAGAAAGAAGCAGAGATCATGAGAGAGAATCAAGTCGGGACTGAGACCGAGGGAATAGCTGTGACCGAGGCAGGGATTATGATTGTAGGAGCAGAGATCGTGACAGGTATAGTGATCAAGATCGTAATAAGGATTATGAGCGCTCTCGAACTTATGATTCTAGAAGTTACCGCAGGTCATGTTCAAGGTCTAGGGAACACTCTAGGGATCATGATTGCCACAGGTACTTGTTTAACATTATCCCATGCTTGTTTAACAATATATTCTTAGTTTTGTTTTGTGATCCTTTTTTAACTTATTAAATGTATAATGTAATATAATATTTGTTTTCTGTTATCGTAAAATGTGCCATCCTGGGTCTTTTACCATTCTTTTCAAATTTAATGCTGAACTCTGGCTAGTATTTGAGTCCAAGAAGCTAAATATAAGATAAAAGCCAGGGACAGCTGCATCAAATATATTTGAGGATGTGAGCTACAATCCTCTATGATTCTGGCAACAAAGAAACTGTTATCACGTGAAGCTACACCCTTCTTTTCTTTCTTTCTTTTGTTTTCTCTTATCCTCATGAGGATAAGAATCTTACTCAGCATTTTTGGCTGCTATCATCTGTTTCTAGTATATTTCCCTTAGTATTGGAATACAGTATAGAGAAATGGTTATAATCTTGAATAGACCCAAAACCAACCATGCTTAAGGCATAGGGGTGGAGCAAACACCTGTACCGTAGATTTTAATGCTATTTTTCTTCACATAAAAAACCCTGTTTTTTTTTAATCTCATCTAAATTCTAAAATATCTTGACTACTGTTTGCTTATGATGAGCTGATGAAGGGATGGCATTCCTTTAGTACCTCATTATATTATGACGTGATAGTTATTGCTTGGATTTGAATCTTGATCTTAACCTCAAAAACCAGTGATAGATATTTGCCTTCCTAATTGTTCTTTTTGTTTTGTGCCTGAAGCTGTTGAAGTTTTCTGTGCTGATAAGGATTATTCTTGAACGTCACTCATTGTTTTTAATCAGGCGTGACCGATACTAGATGCATGAATGCTGCCCAAGAAGAAAATGAATACGAAACCGTTCTTGCTTATGTAAGCCAACTTATATAGGGGAGTGGTATTCCTCAGTTATGTTATTTGATAGTTTGTCATGTGGTTGTATCAACATGTTTAAGAGGGTATTTGTTGTTTTTTGGTTCCTAGAGATTAGGAATTGAACCCTAAACTTGTGGTTAAGAGCACAAGTAATTCTATCACTAGACTATATGGCTGATGGTTAAGAGGGCGTTTGTTACTTGGTGATGTGTGTTTGGTTTTCGGTATCATCGGAGATGTAAGTTTGCTTGATTTTACTATTCCAATTTCCATGTCAGGCAAATTTTCAGTTAAGTATTGAAAAGGAGAATTAAAATAATGAGGTTGAATTTTATTTTTTGCTTTGACTGCTTGATATTAAGTTGGCAAGAAAATTGAGGATGCTGGAAACATCATTCACACAATTATATCTAGATTCAGTCTCATCTAATGGTAGTCATGCATGATTGGGTGTGAATCGATATGCACGAATGAATTATTTATGAAAAGAAAATTTTTTTGTAATTCTCAATCATTTGCTGTGTAAAAAGCATTAGATTAAATTACAAACAAAAGTTAAATGGGAAACTGCAAGGAGTGTAAGCTTATCCATCAATACGAAACATTACTTAGAGAATCATCTATAAGGAAAGAAGTGTGCTCTAAGTATGCAAATGCACATCTCTAATATGCAAAGTGACTCAATTTGTCTCATCTTGTGTAGCTTATTATCACACACAAGGTAAAAAAATGTGAATCTCCAAGGAATCTAGGTATCACCAAAAAAAAAAAAAAAAAAACACGAAAGAACTTTAGAGGCACGAAAGTCTGTTGTGCATGTGAAAGCTAAAATTTATATTTAAAATTATGGTTTGTCTTGTGTGTAAAAGAAAAGAAAATAGCGAACCCATCAAAATCAGCAAACCATATTCTAATTAAAACCAGAGTACAGTAGAACCCAATTGGTAATTATCAAGTAATATTTGTCTTTTGAATACCCTCTCCTTAAAACACCATAAACAACAAACATTTTAATTTTGGGTGCCAAGCAATATGGCAGCTTCTCGAAGTTCATATCCAACTTTTTTTTTTATCAGCGAAATAAATAAAATTTATTAAAGGTTAAATGCTAAATTTGATCCCTCAACTTTAGTGAGTTGCACATTTTTGGTCCCTCAACACTTTTTTGCACTTTTTAATCCTTCAACTATACAAAATGCACTCCGTTAGTCCTTTTGTCAATTTGGGCCGTTAACTCGGCCACATGGCATTTTTTATTTTATTTTTTATGACATGGCGAGACAACTTAAAAAGGTGCTGATCTGGACTTTTTTTGATGACATGTAATCTTCTTGCGTCAAAGCCCCTCCAATGGATCCCACGTTGCCTGCAAACCACCAATAAAGAAAAGTCTGTGAACCCTAGAATGGTCTCTCATCTTCACTCTCTGCAAAATCAATCTAACTCATATCTTCTTATTCTTTGAATGCTCTTTCATCTCCACTCCATCTGCAAAATCGATCTTAACCCATTTCTTCTTCTTTTCTGAATGCTCTCTCATCTCCACTCTATCTACAAAACCGATCTTAATCCATTTCTTCTTCTTCTCTTTTCTCGGGGGAACTTGAGCTACTAGGTTTCATTGAAGCCTCAAACCTGGCAGATCTTATCAAATCAAATTAACCTTTCAATAAACAATACCAATCAAATTCTAATCAAATTCCAACAAAAATGCAATCAAATTGTAAATCAACTCCCAAATTTATTAACAATTGGGAATGAAAATCGAAAGAAAAATGAAAAAACATGAACCCAACGTCGAAACAGCAAGGTTGGTTTGCACGACCGGCAAGGCTAGGTTCATCGGAACCCAGCTGATCTGGGTTTCAACAAACCCAGCCTTCGACAAAACCAGGCTGGTCGTGCGAACCAGCCAAGGCTGGGTTCATCGGAACCCAACCTATCCCAGGGTAGGAAAGAAAGAAAGAAAAAGAAAGAAAGAAGGGGAAGAAGAGGGATTGGGAGGGTGAGTATAATAAGGTAATTTTATTTGTTTTTAATTAAAATATACATATTAATCTATGTGGCATTTTTATTTATTTATATAACATAATTATAATATATATTATTGCCACATCATCAAAAAAATTAAAAGACAATGCCACAGGAAATTATTTAACTTCCAGATCATACTTAACTAATGGAAGGACCAAAACTATGCAATTTTTAGAGTCAAGGGATCAAAAAAATGCAAAAAATTGTTAAAGAACCAAAAATGTACATTTCATAAAGCTAAAGGACTAAATTTAACATTTAACCTTTATTAAAAAAAGTACAAGGATACTCTTGTTCATGTCCAAATTAATTAATCCACTTACAATACTAGCAAGACGGAAACTTAGAAAAAACTTGCAACCCCTGTAATTATTTTCAAAACTGAAATAAACAACCCAAAACAACCCCCAGTGGAATCCTTCAAACAAAACGTTGCCCCTGCTTATGATACAGCCTTAAAAACCTCTTGTGCCTCTTCACAGCTCTTGCACATTCTACCAGATTTACTCTCCACTAAGAAAATGAAAAAAACACACCCAACCACCTTATTCTTAATCTAGAAAAAAGACTCAGGGTGCATTTGAAATTTCTGTGAAATGCTGTAATTGTAATTGTAGTTGTAACTATGGTTATAATTATGACTGTACTGAACTATATTGTACTATATCTGTGGTTGAAATTTATTTCAGTGTTTAGTTATTTATTTTTTAAAAATATTATAGATGAAATATGATAATTTTATTAATTATTAATTAAAATTTAAAAAATATTGTAAAACGTATAATTATTAAAATAGATAATATTTATTATTTTTTAATAATTTAAGTTTTTTAAATTAATTATTATTATTAAAATATTATATATTATGATATAATTAAATTATACAAAATTGAATTTTAATGAGTAATTTTATAATTATATTAAATATAAAGTGTTTTTTTATAAAAGCCACAATCAAAAAGTTTCAAAATGAGATTTTTAACACCATATATAAAATTACTATAGCTCTATTATGCTTTTCTGTAATTTTTTAAAAAACAATTTGAAAAAAAATTTATCAAATATACATATCTAAAAGTGTTGTATGGTTACACAAAAAAACCTCAAACCATAGTCCCAAACGCACCCTTAGCTTGAACCATATCTAACAATTACTCTTGAAAATCCCCATTACTTCGAAACACAATAGCATTCCTCCAATATCGTTAAAAACCAAGACAACCAAAAAAATACATGCACTCATCTCCTTTCCAAGCAACATACCCAAACTACCCATAAAAAAATTTACCACCCCCCTCATTGTATTCGGCATCACCACCTCCAAACCCCACCAATGAAGCACCTTAGCCCACACTAACCAAGCTTCTTTACATGTAGGTTGATGTCCTCCGCCCCCTCGTTACACAAACCACACCTCATTCCGTCCCCCTGCAAAACCACCCCTCTTTTCTACAAATTCCATCTTGTTGGAACAAGACACAACCTCCACCCAAAAAAACCCACTTTGGAAGGCACTAACCTACACCAAATCAGTTTGCAAAATTGGATTTCAAGCAAACACTCTATGGGAGCTAAAAAATCATAAGCTCTTTTCACCATATATCTACCTTCCAAATCATACATCCACTGTCAAGAATCCTCCATGCCTTCCTTAATCTATATCCTACCCAGCACCACCCACAACATCCCCTCCTCATCCTGTCCACGTCCACTCCATATGCCACCACCACATTGCCCCCTCCCATTTCCCCATCTCGCTTACCATTCCTTCCTTATTAACAGCTAACTGAAATAGCCTAGGACATAAATCCCTTAAAGATCTATCTTCTACCCAAATATGTCTCCAAAAACCCACCTGACTTCCATCCCTTACCACCCACCTAGACCCTTTCACCCTTTCACCAACATATTCCTTAATCTCATAGATTTCCCACCTATACCAATAATATCTCCCCAAATCTTAGACCCCCTCAAATTCTCTACCACAAACCTGATAGGAATTAAGAAAGCAACCTCTCAATATATATACTTCCATAGATATAAGAAACGTACTTTATCATACAAGTAAATATAAGAAAGCAACATTTGTTTTCTAGAAGGATACTCTCTCTTTAATACTATAAAACAACACATGAATTTAAAGGCTTTGCATGAATTTAATAATACATAATACAAGTTGCACAAGTGTACAAGAAATAGAAAAGATCTGTCTTCCTTTTTTTTTTTTTTTTCTGGTAGAAAAAAGGGATCGGTTTTAGTTAGTGAGGTAACATTCTAGGCACCAAGCAGCACCAAGCAATGTGACAACTTCACATCCAACTTACGTGTACACCATTCAGACCTGCAACAAGCTAAGAAAGCAGCCTCAATATACATCCATGCATGTTTACAAGAGATGTACCCTTATCAAACCATTGTAGAGATGATGGAAGCATGAGACCGACTCACCATCAAATTTCACTTGGAAAGGACATAAGCCGCAATTTCTTTGATCTCAATTTTCAGAATCACCCTGACTCTGCGGACATAGAAACACCATAATACTGAAGGTGAAAGAAAAATTATAGTAAAAATTTTCCTTTTCAAAATCATGATCTATCAAGCATTCATACATACCTTTCTACTTTTTCCTATTATTTTAAAGACTCTAAATGAAGATTTGTGTAATAAACGAAAAGAGAAATAGATAAAACTTAAAAGAAGAAAAACCTATAGAGATCTTTTGAGCTAATGCATACCTTTTGCATCAAATGTAGTTGTATGGTCAAGTTTAGGTTGCCATCCCAAAAGCCTTCATCTTCATCTCTAGTCAATTTTACTTTTTGCAGTTTTGGCGTTCTCATTTCATCCATAGAGAAAGTCTGCATACTGGGACAATCCATCAAAATCACCTCTTCCAAAAATGGGAACTCAAACTTGCATTTAATCGAGCAAAAACTTGAAAGTCTAGGCAAACCACAAAGTTGCAAATACTTGAGTTTGCTAAAGAAAATCTCATCCTTCACATCATCCTCCAAGCATGTGACCGTTTCCAACAAAGGTACTGGAGTGGCCTTTTGAGCTTGTGATTGGCTGACACCAGGTTCTTGAGACTCAAGTATCTCTTCAAGTGAATCACAGTTCCATATTTGGAGATTGGCTAGTCTCCGAAGCCTTTCCAGCATACTAAATGGGAAAATATTCTTTAACTTTTCACATGAAACCACACTCACCAAAGTTAGTTGGCAAAAAGAATTTACTTCGAGTTGGTCATTCCATATCTTATTCAAGCTCTTCACATGTTCAATTACCAAACGCTCTAATTTGGGGAATGCCACCTAGAGATTTACACAATTCAATTAAAATTAAACATAATCAAAGATCTAGTGGAATGAAAAATATTGGAATCTAATTTTTTTTTTAATGTAAAACTTTATGAGGTCTAGAAAATAATAATAGCATTATAAGACATTAAACAGTAAAATATAAAGGGAGAAAAAGGGAGAAATCACCTTTGCGTCAAAGAGAGAAAGTGTACAAGTGTTTTTGACATTTTCAGAACTGGCTATCATATCTCCAAAAATAAAGCTAGAGATGAAAGTCTTCAGCACAGGGCACTTGCTTATCTTAAGTTTCCAAAGGCATGGTAATTCCAAGTAATTTCCAGAACAAAATCTTGTGAGTTTTGGAAGGTCTTGGAGTAGTAGGAACTCCATGTTAGGGAAGAAAATCTTGCACATCTTTTCCTCATCCGTTGATTCTTCTGCAAGTATTACCTCTTTCATCATATTACAATCTCGAATCTCAAGCCAATTCAATTGCTCAAAACTCTTAACCATGGAGGATGACAATAGATTTTTCAAATTATCACAACCCTCCACACACAACTTTCTTAAATTTTGGACATAAGAAGAGATTCCTGGAATTGAATTGTCCAAAATTTGTTGAATGTTATTTGAAGAAAGACTCAAAAACTCCAAGTTGGGAGTCTCCACCTGCAAAGACTCATAGTTAGTATGTTAATACAAGACATTGTAGGAAGATGACTCTGTCAATAGAATTTTCATTAAAAAGGTTTTTTTCTATTTTTAATTGATTAAACTAAAAACATTACAAGGATAATCCCAAACCGAGAACATGAAAACAATGTGCAATTATGTGAAGTATATTGATATTTTGAGTAGAAAACAGTGAACTCTTTTTGGACTTAACGTTATTTGGGTCCATGCAGGCAAAAAAGAAAAAAAAAATTATTTGGATCAATAATCCTATTTTAAAACTTGAGTAACTTCACATTTTAGGTGGTAGATGTAGCCAGGATTCTTTGCTTTCTAACCGTGTATTAAGTGGAACTTGTTAAGGAGATTCATTCATGAAGCTAAAGAAGTGGAGATGGCAACACTGATATGCAGAAAGCAAAGATAAATATACTGTAAAATCTTAATTACAATAAATAAATATAAAAAACTAACCATGTTGCTGTAAAAATAAAGAAAAATGGAAAAGAAGAAAAGAAACTAACCTTACTGCTAAGGAGGTAATGAGATTCCTCTTGGTTGCGCTCTTCTAAGGATGTAGAAGCAGCACATGTGACCATCTTTGGGCAGTCCTTTACAATAAAATTACTTAATCTTGGAAGCTCAAGACCATGACTTCCTACATAAAAACTTGTCAAATCTAAACAAGACTCTAGATTGATCAACCAAAGATGTGGGAGTTTCATTTTATTTTTTGCTCTTTCTCCCATTATCACTTGTTCCATTGTCCCACAGTTTTTTACTATTAATTGCGAGAGTTGCACAAGGCCCATGACCATGGAATGGATTAAGAGGTACCTGAACTTGCTACAATTATAAATTTGAAGCACTTGAAGCTGTCTGAAATCTAAGAGTTCTTGAGGATTCTTGATATGCCATGTTTCCATGAACTTAGGAAAATCTGATAGCATCAAAATTTGTAACCCAACAAATCCAACCTGCACAAGTGCAAAAAGGCAAGGCTAGTTATATATATAGTACAATCCAAAATAAATCAAACAATTTTTTATAAAAAGAATGAGTGGCTTCAAATATTTAGAAATCAATTCATACCTCTTCCTTGTACATTCTTTTTATGGTGGTATTAAGGTCACCTTCCCAACGGTACTTGTTCTCTTCTTCCCCTTTTTCAGTTGATACTCTCTGTAGCAATGGTGTATTTAGGTCTCCCTCACTAAAGATCTTCAACTTGGGGCATTGATATACGGTTACCTTTTCCAAACATGGGAATTTGAAGGTGAAATTTTCTGAACAAAAGCTTTCTAGTCTTGGCAACCATTGAAGTGTCAAAAATTTTAGTTTAGTAAAAGTGATCACGATATAATCTTGCATTCCAACTCCCTCATTACCAACTATTTCAGTCAACATGTGGCAGCTATTTACAGTAATGCCTTTTAGCTGCACCAGACTTTGCGCTGTTGAGACTGAAACCAAATTTATTATCCCGTTGCAACTTGTTACGTTCAAAGTGGTGAGATTCTGGAAAGATGAAATTGAAGTTAATAATATAATCAAACTATCACATTTGAATATATCAAGAGTTTCAAGATTTTGAAGGACACTTGATGAGTCATGACTCCATATATGCCTGAGATATGGAAGGCGCTCCAGCTTTAATGTTTTAATCCTTGAGAATGTCTCAATCTCAATGTGTTTCTCCTGTTCTTCAACTTCTCCTTTTGAAGGGAACAACTCTTTAAAATTACAATAGCTCACAATGAGATTTTCTAGATGGCAGAACCTTTTTAGGAATCCAACAGGTAAAACATCTAATTCATCATCAAGATAGTCTTGAATTTGAAGAACTTTGCCATTGAAAATGATGTCTTGTTTAGACTCATGCTCACATATCATTGCAATATCATCTCTTGTTAATGATAGTTTCTCCAATTGAGGGATGATCTGAAAAGAAATAAAATTTAATAAATAAGATCTTGTGATTTTATATATAAAAAGAAATAAAAAATTATTAAAAATATTAAATGTATTTTTCACATGGAAACCAAATACCCTCTTATTACTAATTGAATTGAAAATGATGTATAAATAGTGTATTTTTGGGTGGAATGAATGTAATGACCCTACCCTTAATTGTACAGTTCATAAGTTTCTGTTCTTAATTGTCAGATCTAACTTGCATAAAAACAAAGTTTCAGGTTTGCATGTAAATTTTCAGAAATTTTTATAATGGAATACAACTGTCAAGTCTATTTGGGGTGGTAATGACATATGGCAAACATCCAAACATTTTACATTTGCATGTAAGCATTAAGCAGTTGTATTTGTATAATTTCTAAACTAGAAACCAGAGGAAGAGAAAGGGGCTTCTGGCTATCTATTTTGTGAGACTTGGTGTTTGATATCTATTTTGTCAGGCCATGATTATTATAGCTTCTGCTATGTGCTTTATACTATTGTTTGAGTCTACGGAGAGTTGGAACCTATGCTAACTGCTAGTTAATTGTTTGGGCTCTAAGTTGAGCAACTTTGATTGATTGGACCTCTATGCAGTAGGGAGGCTATGGTTGGCAATCTGCTTTTAACGTGAAGTGAACTACAGATTGTTAAGTGGACTCATAGACTCTCTGATTGTTTGTTTCTCTAAATTGTTTGGTAATCTGATTTTATTTATTATATATGTTTGAAGTTAATGATTTAGTGTTGAATTTATGAAGAACCTATCAAAGAGATTTGATCTATATGGTTAAGCTATGCCCGCCACCTTCATAATCTATCTTTTTTGGATTCTGGTTATAAGTTTTAACATGGATTATTTGAT